CCTGAGCTGAAGTGCACTTGGGAAAAACCTTAATTAGGCAGTGGTTGTGGGGTGGATTGAAGCGTAAGGGGCCTTGTTAAGAAGTTATTGTAACAGTGCTGGAGGATGGGAACTGGGATCTTTGAAGTGAAGATGTCGGAGCTGGTGGAAGAAAGGGGCATATGTGATGTACTATAGAAGAAGACTTTGTAGCAGTTGATTTTTATGTAATGGCTTTATTTTAAAATAATCACAGACACAGAAAAATATTGGGAGGCCATTACAAAGAATGATGAACAAGGATAGTCTCTGACATAAGCACAATACAGCCATTGAAAGCCAGAAAGTAACATTAAGTTACTGATATCCGGGGGACTTCCCTGGTGGCCAGTGGCTAAGAGTCCCAGCTCCCAGTGCAGGGGGCCCAGGTTCGATCCCTGGTGAGAGAACTAGATCCCGCATGCTGCAACTCAAGATCCCATGCAGCCAGATAAAGATACTGTAAAAATGAAAACGTGACTAACATCTTGATTTCTGGTTTTGCCGGTTGTCCCAGTAATATCTTTCGCAGTGAAAGGACCCTGGTGCAGAATTGTGTGTTGTGCTTTCAGCTGTCAGGACTCTAGTCTCTCTTGGTCTAGGACCATTCCCTATCTTTTTCTAGATCTCATGACTTGACAGTACTTCAGGGGATGACAGGCCAGCCCTTTAGTAGAAAGCCCCTCGAATTGGGTTTGTCCTTCATTCCCTCAGGTTTCTGTTCTGGTCTGCCCCCTAGGCAGGAGTGCCACGGACAGCTGGCCACAGTCTGCTCCTGCTTCCTGCCACGTGCCGAGCCATTTCCCTTTCTGCCTTTATTGCCCATCTGCAGCGCTCCATCCGGGTGTTGTCTGACAGGCTTCCCCGCAGTCAAGTTACTCTTTGCCCTTGGCAATTAGGAGCTATTTGGAGGAGCAGTACTTTGAAGTTGTATACACATCCCAATCCTCATTGCATTTTTGTATTCATTAAATTAGCCATAGGTGGCTCAGATGATAAAGCGTCTGCCTACAATGCAGGAGATCCAGGTTCGATCCCTGGCTTGGGAAGATCCACTGGAAAAGGCAATGGCACTCCACTCCAGGGCTCTTGCCTGGAAAATCCCATGGACGGAGGAGCCTGGTGGGCTGCAGTCCACGGGGTCTCAGAGTTGGACACGACTGAGCGCCTTCACTTTCACTTTCTTTGGTTGCTCCCCTGGTGGCTCAGCTGGTAAAGAATCCGCCTGCAATGCGGGAGACCTGGGTTCAATCCCTGGGTTGGGAAGGTTCCCTGGAGAAGGGAACGGCTACCCACTCCAGTATTCTGGCCTGGAGAATTCCATGGACTCTATAGTCCATGGGGTCGCAAAGAGTCAGAGACGACTGAGTGGCTTTTGCTTTGGGACATCACTGTTTCTTCTTTTAAGCAGTGAATTAACCTCTTACTGCCCTTATTTTTGATATTCAATTACTTTTGATATTCAATTTGTTCCCGATTTCACCAGTGGGAACTCATTCATGCTGGTTTCTGTGACCATTTTGCTGTGTTCCCATCACTTCTCTGAGGGCTGCCTTGTTTTAGCCCCACCTTGTCCTTCTACCTCCCCAGGCCTGGAGTCACCCCTTTCTTCAGGGAGCACCCCCAGGCCCGCAGACACCTTCCTCTCTGTGATTGGAGTCTGCCTCCACGTCAGGGTCACAGGGCCACCCCCCGCCTCCCCGGATGCCCTTCTTCTAAACTCAGGCCCTGACTCCCCCTACTGGGATGTCCTCACACTCCTTGAGTTCTGAGACCCTGCGCTGGACCAGCGAGCATGTGGTTTCCCCCTTCCTGCTGGGACTCTGACGCTCTGCCTGGGGCTGGCTGCCCACCACGGCACCCCCCCACTGTAGGTCTCTGCTGTGCTGTGTATGGCCTGATGACTTGAGAATTCAATCATTACGGAAGGCTAGTAGAGCAGGTGAGACTTCCCTGGTGCCTCAGACGTTAGAGAATCTGCCCGCAGTGTGGAATACCAGCTTCGATTCTTAGGTCGGGAAGATTCCTTGGAGGAGGGCATGGCAACCCATTCCAGGAGAATTCCATGGACAGGGGATCCTGGAGGGCTGCAGTCCATGGGGTCCCAAAGAGTCAGACATGACTGAGCGGCTCACACACTTTCAGTAAAGGAGCTGATATTTGAGTACAAGGGGAAAGAAAGATATGTGGAAAGTCAGTGAAAACTCGCAGGTGATGAGCTTGACCGTCATGGAGGATGGCGAGCAGTTAAAGAGAAATGGAGAGGTCAAGAAGAAGTGATGATTTATCTTGGTGACCTGAGTTTGACGTTCCAGACCACCTCTAACTGGAGGAGTTCTCTGTAGAGGTGGAAATGCTGGTATCGGGGTGTGCAAGGCCTCCTCATAGACATGGCCGTCGAGGGGCAGCGTTGGTGTGATCCAAGGAGCAAAGGTATACATGACTCAATATAGTGTAAGGTGCCTTTGCTAGGAGTTTGGAGGAACAGAACGCCATGTGGGAGATGAGCATCAGATGCTAATAAAGGACACGGGCGTTGTTTTGACAGTCAGGTGCTGCATCGTGGATACTAAAGGAAGGAATCGTGGCATCCTAGAATTTCCAAATTAGAAGGGCCCCAAGGCTATGTCTAAATCCAGCCCTCTGCGGGCACGATTAATGAAACTAAGGCCCAGAGAGAGTGTATGTCTCTTGCAGTCTTGTTCAAAGCAGTTAGTAACAGAACTTTCCTTCCAGTGGGAGATGGTGTTTCAGAACCCAGTAGGAGGGCAGAGAAGGCCAGGAATTAGGCTGAATAGCTGGGGCTGGTGGTTTTTTGCAGGAAGGAATTCTATAGAAAGGCGGGAATGGGACTCAGAGTGATTGGCTGGGGAGTGAATGAGGGATGAAGAGGAGACAGCTGGAGGCGAGGGGACGGCGCTCACCCTGGGGAGGTGTCTGTCCAGTGGTGGAGGCAGAGGAGTGGAGGGGAGAGTTGGTGGCACAGAGAAACGGAAGGATCAGAGTACGGATTTTGCTGGACAGGTAAGGTCTGAAGTGGGCAGTGGACCTGTGCTGAGACCGAGGCTGGAAACGTCAGAGGGAGGGAAGACGCTGGATGGGGCCATGTCCTGGAGAGAAGGTAAGGGTAGGAGTGAGACCGCGGTTAGCCGGGGAGTCAGATTTTAACTGCCAGCTTGAACCCATAGGTGGAGGCCGTCGATGGTATCTGGTGTCACCATTTTTACAGACTTGCAAACTGAGGCTCAGCCTGTAACCATGATCCGCCTAAGGCCAGAGTGAGGAGGATGAAGAAACAAACCCTTGAGCTAGAGAAGACGAGAAGTGAATGTCCTGGAGTGATAGGCAGATGGGTCCTTTACAAACATAAATCGGGCTGGGCAGCAGATGCATAGCCCTCAGGCCCCACCTCATTAGAGGCAGCCTGAAGTAGAATAACTCGGTCTGTGGAGCACTGAGTCCCCAGGCCCCTGACAACCTGGTTTAAGATGCTCCCTCCTCGCTCATTTCCCACACTGGCCTTCCTGGGGCTCAGACAAGCAAGCCCCTTCCCCCGGGGGCTGCTTGCTGGCCCCTCTGGCTGGAGGCCTCTGCTTTCAGGTTTGGGTTTGCTGCCTCTCTTCTTTGGCTCAGACGGTAAGGAGTCTGCCAGCAATGCAGAAGTTCGGTCTCTGAGCTGGAAAGATTCCTTGGAGACGCTAATAGCTCAAGTGTCACCCTCTCAAAGAAGCCCTCCCTGACCACTCTGTTTAAAGTGGTGACCCCCGCTTCCTCCATCACTCTCTTTTGTTGTCTTCAGAACACACACCTTTCAGAAATTATCTGTGTTTATTTCACTTCTCTAAGTAGAATGGCAGCTTACTGCAAGCAGGGGCCTTCCTTAGCTGTCCCGTGTTACGAGTACCTTTGCCATACTTGGGATTCCCTGATAGCTCAGTTGGTAAAGAATTCACCTGCAGTGCAGGAGACCCTGATTTGATTCCTGGGTCGGGAAGATCCACCGGAGAAGGGATAGGCTACCCACTCCAGTATTCTTGGGCTTCCATTGTGGCTCAGCTGGTAAAGAATCTGCCTGCAAAGTGGGAGACCTGGGTTCCATCCCTGGGGTGGGAAGATCCCCGGGAACAGCTACCCACTCCAGTATCCTGACTTGGAGAATTGCATGGACTATTTAGTCCATGGGGTCTCAAAGAGTCGGACACGACTGAGCGACTTTGACTTTCCCTTTTGCCATACCTGCACCAGGGCCAGGCGTGCTGTGGACGCTCAGTAAACCCTGATGACTGGACCGAATGCGTTGATTAGCAGAGGGACATGGGGTGATAAGATGAGTGTGGGTGATTGGATAAGATTATTGTTACATAACAGTGAATTCTACTGGGTTTAGCAAAAATTCTTGTGACCTCTCTCAGCATATTTTTAAGGACTTTCACAAAATAATCAACAGATGCTGTTCTTATTTTTTCTAATCTCGGCATCATAGAGGAGTTGGTAAGGATGTATTCCAGGCTCTCTGGTGACATTCTTAGTCTTCTTTATGAGGTCATTTATTTAACTTTAATTTATGAACAGTAAAATTGTCTCTTTTTGGTGTACAGTTCTTTGAGTTATGCCAAATGCAGAATCATGTAACCACCGCCCACTCAAGATACAAAATAGTTCTATCACCCTCCGAGATCCCCTTCTGTTGCCCCCTCAGAACCCAGCCCCTCATCTTACTGTCTAACCCTAGTGACCATTTTTATATGTTGCCCCTCTCTGTAGTTGATTTTTTCTAGATTGCCATATAAATGCAGTCATACTTTATACAGCATTTTAATGGTTGGTTCTTTTTGTTGTTTTTTGTACAATTAAAAAATATGTAAGTATAGTTGATTGACAATGTTACATTATTTTTAGGTGTGCAACATAGTGACTCAGTATTTTTATAGATAATACACTGATTAAAGCTATTACTAGCTAATGGTTCTACTCCTCTAGGCTGTACAATATATCATGTTGCTTACTTAATTTTTCAACAAGTATTTTAATATGTATGCATATGTATTTATTGTATAGTAAATCTTGTTGGAAAAAAAGAAATGAAATCTCTTGGTCCTTTCATTTAGCATAGTGCATTTAGAAGTCATTGGTGGAGTTGCTGGCACCGGTGGTTAGCCTCTGTTCAGTGCTGAGTGATAGTCCATCTATGGCCACACAGTTCTTTTTCTCATCCATTCACCTGTTGATAGATATGTAGGTTGATTCTAGTTTGGACTGCTAAAAATAAAGCTGCTATACATAGTTGCATACAAATCTCTGAAGGGACGTTTGCTTCATTTTTTTTCTTCAGTAAATACCTATAAGTAAAAATACCTAGGTCATGTAGTACATGGAGTTTTAATTTTTAAGAATATATTAAACTGTTTCTCACCAAAATGGTTGCACCATTTCACATTCCCACCAGCTGCAGGTGAGTTCTGGTTACATTACATCCTTGCCAACACTTGGGAGAGTCGGTCTTTTTCGTTTTAGACGTTATTATAGTACCCATAACTCACTGTGGTTTGAATTGGCATTTCTCTAACATCTACATGATTCTGAACATCTTTTCATGTGCTTACTTGCCATTCGTGTACCTTATTTCCAGGCCTGTTAACTCTTTTGCCCATTTTTACTGGTTGGTTTTCTTCTTTTTGAGTTCTGTTGTCAGTTATCTTTTTAAGATAAGCTTTTCCATAGAAGACCTAAAACTAAGAGAAAAGGAAAAGTAGCTTTTAAAAATTCCTGTGTTGGCAGCAGAAAAAAGTAGTAGGCAACTCTCAAATTATTTAGTATGTACTGTGTTCTTAACATGGGTGAGTAAACCAAAAGAATCTGAAGCAAACCCGGTACCCCCCCTGTATTCCCATCTCACTGTGGGCGAGGCCTCACGTGAGTTTATGCAGACCTTCTTCTGGTGGTTCCCTAGTTATGTGTTTGGTTGTGTGATGCAGACAAGAAGTATTATCGATCCCAAACTCCCAATTGACATGTATACACTACTGTATTTAAAATAACCAACAAGGACTTACTTTATAACACAGAGAACTCTACTCAATACTGTGTAATAGCATAGTTGGGAAAAGAATCTGAAAAAGAATAGATACATGTATACAGATAACTGAATCTCTTTGCTATAGACCTGAAACTAACAAACATGGTGAATCAGCTATACCCTAATGCAAAATCAAAATTTTAAAAAAGAGATGTCACCAAAAATTAGAAAAGGAAGTGTCTTATGTGGGCTCTAATTGTTAAGGAGAGCCTCCTATAGGAGGTGAGAGTTCAGTTGAAGTTTGATGATGGGTGGTCTTTGGTTGGGAGTAGAGAGGTGGCGTGGGCTTCCCTGCTGGCTCAGCTGGTAAAGAATCCACCTGCAACGTAGGATACCTGAGTTTGATCCCTGGGCTGGAGAGATCCCCTGGAGGAGGGCATGGCAGCACATCCCAGTACTCTTGCCTGGAGAATCCCCATGGACAGAGGAGCCTGGCGGGCTGCAGTCCATGGGATGCAAAGAGCCGGACACGACTGAGTGATGTAAGCACCACATAGAGATGTCATAGGAAGGAGTAAAGCATGGGTCACATATACGGGCACGGAGCAAGCGAAGCCTGCTTGGAGGGGTTTATTGGTGCTTGGGGAACCCTGACTACAGAGATCTGTGAGGGTGAAAAAGAAGTGCTTACTAGTTTTAATATAGTACTAGTAAACATTCTTTTTCAAACCTAGGAATAACATAAAAGGGTAGGAAGGGCCATCTGGAAAGGGGGATAGAAAACAGTGACAGGAACAAATTTTAAAAAGCAATGGACGGACTTCCCTAGTGGTCCACTGGATAAGATTTCACCTTCCAAAGCAGGCAGTGCGAGCTCAACCCCAGGTCGGGGAATTAAGATCCTACAAACCTTGTGGTCAAAAAAACAAAAAAAAAGTAAAACAGAAGCAGTGTTATAACGAACTCAGTAAAGACGTTAAAAATGGTCCACACCGCACAGACAGGAAAAGCAGTGGAGAGGCTGTCGTATTGGTAACTTAGACTGAGCAGGTGGAGCGGTGACCACGGGATAAACATCGGTCAGTTCACGTGAAGAAGTCTCTGAGGAGGAGATTATCCGACCCAAAGCCTGTTTCTCCCACCTACTCTTCTCACGCCCCGTGTGCTAACAGCCTGATGAAAAGTGGATTGCCAAAGATCATAGGGAAGAAGGCAGCAGAGTTTATAGCAACGAGGGGAAAACTTCTGCATGATCGTAACTGCTAAGAGCAAGGGAGCACAAGACCATTTGGTTGCTTGCGCTTTATTTGTGCTCACTCAGTCATGTCCGACTCTTTGCAGCCCATGGATGCAGCCTGCCAGGCTCCTCTGGCCATGGGGATTCTCCAGGCAACAGTACTGGAGTGGGCTGCCATGCCCTTGCTTACTTGGATGAAGGTAAAACCGATACTTTCCATACCAAAGTAGAACACTTTTTTATTAGATTATGGAAAAATACCCCCGGAGAATGGAGACAGGAAGAGCCAGCTCCTGGCTTGACAAAGTTGGAAAGCATACTGGTGACAGATTATGTAAATGAATTAGAAATAGTGACATATGGAATTCTGATATGCGTACAAGGATATAAAGGAACAGAAGAATCTCAGCTTGTTGGGAAGTCCATTTATTTTGTCCTCAAGTTACTGGTGTTTGAATTCGCAGGGCTCTTTCCAAAAGTGGAAACGTGCTGATTTCCCTCAATCACATGGTACAGTTTGTATTTACTTAAAAAATACTTTTCTGATAAGTTTGAGATGAGATTCCAAGTGCAGAGTTTGGGAGTGTAGGGATGGGATGGGAGCAAATATTCTTTTATTTCCTCTGGTTTGTATTCTCACTGTGTTTTTTGAAATGGAAATTGTGTTCAGAGAGGCTTTTGTCCTTGGAAACTTTAAGGTAGACTGAAGAATTTGTGGTTGTACAAAACAAAGTGTTTTTCCCTCCATCTCTCTGTCATTTTCAGACTCAGGCGAGGTAAAAGTGTTCATGTGAAGTATTCCTTTGAGACCTCTGGAAGCATTTGAGTTTCTGTATGTGGCAGAAATATGATAATTTTGTTGACATATACCCTGTATTTTGGACTTGGTTGCTATGATTCAGGTGAAAACAGCACTTTTTTCCTCTTCTAAGTACTGTTTTTTAAGGAACCGAAGAAATTGACAGAGGCCTGAAGTGGGGGAAAGAGGAGTTACAAACACAGCCACCTTTTCATGGTGAAAATCTAAAGCTGATAGCTCTTGCATTTACATGACTTCTGAAACATTTAGCTCCATGGGTGGTTCTTGAAAGTTCATCGGCGGGGATCCCCAATTTTAGAGCTAATGTTCATTTAAAAGCCAAAGATTTTTATAAGAGGGTATAATTGCCTGAACTGTGCATTTATTTTTTGGAGGATGAATTTGTCGCCAGTACCCGAGGATGGAAGAAGTAAAGAATAGAAATCTAAGTGTCGAATGCGATCTAGCCTCTAAAATTTCATAACACTGATGAAATATGCTTTTTTAAGAAATTTGATTCTTGCCAATTCTACTCTAGCAGAAATAATCAAATTTAGTATCATGAGGGTTTTAAGGAAAGTAGACATAAAACAAATGTTAAGAAATCAATGTTTTATTTAATGGGGAAAATGACTGCATTTCCAAGACAGTGTCAGAGTCCCTACATAGTAGGTCTCCTCCAGACATGGAACTGATGCAGAGCATGCTAACCCCGAGTTATTTAAGGCTCTTAATCAGTGAAGAATGACCAGAGTGACCTTGTCATACTCTTCTTAGACAGTGTTGATATTTAGCTGCTTGGCTTTAAAAGGGGGCGCCCTTCCCTGGTCCTTAGCCCAAGAGAGACTGTGCAAGTCAAAAAACATGGAGATTTTTAAGAGGCATGCACCGCTACCTTAAGTGACTAAATGAAATACCACTTCTGTTTACTGAACACCAAGGAATCTATAACAGTAATGCACATTAAAAGCTCTTATTGGGAAGCCTATAAATAATACAGCCTGGAGAGGTTATGGAGAAAGAGGAACCCTCCTCCACTATCGGGTATATAGGTTAGTGGTTAGTGCAGCCACTGTGGATAACAGTATGGAGTTTGCTTAAACTAAGAATAGAGCTACCATAGACCTAGCAATCCCACTCCTGAGCATGTATACCAAGAAAACTCTGGTTGAAGAAGATCCATGTACCCCAGTGTTCATAACAGCACCATTTACAGTAGCCAGAACACATGCTTGTGTGGTGTGCATACGTGCTAAGTCACTTCAGTCATGTCTGACTCATTGCGACCCTATAGACTGTAGCCAACCAGGCTCCTCTGTCCATGGGATTTCCCAGGTAAGAATGATGGAGTGGGTTGGCGTGCTCACCTCCAGGGCATCTTCCCTACCCAAACATCGAACCAGCATCTCTTAGGTCTCCTGCATTGGCTGGTGGATTATTTACCACTAGTACCACCTAGGAAACCCCAGACAAGACATGGCAAAACCTACATGTCCACTGACGGATGGATGGATGGATAAAGAAGATGTGGTACATGTATACAGTGGAATATTACTCAGCCATAAAAAGTGAAATAATGCCATTTGGAGCAACATGGATGGACCTAGAGCTTATCATACTAAGTGAAATAAGTCAGAGAAAGATGAATATCATATATCACTTATTATATATGGAATCTAAGCAAAGATTCAAATGAACCTATTTACAAAACACAAATAGGCTCAGACATAGAAAACAAACTTACAGTTACTGAAGGGGAAAGTCGGGGGCAGAGAGGGCTCAGTTAGGAGTTTGGGATTAAGATACATGTGCATGCATGGTGTGCGAAGTTGCTTCAGTCATGTCAGACTCTTTGCGACCCTGTGGAGTGTAGCCCACTAGACTCCTTTGTCTGTGGGATTCTCCACACAAGAATACTGGAGGGGGTTGCCATGCCCATCTCCCGGGGATCTTCCCGACCCAGGGATCAAACCCGGGTCTCCTGCATGCAGCAGATTCTTTACTGCTTAGCCACCAGGGAAGCCCCAACAGATACACACTACTATATGTAAAATAGATAAATAACAAGAACTGCTATATAGAGGAACCTACTGTATATTCAGTATCTTGTAGTAACCTGTAATGGAAAGAATCTGAAAAAAAGTATAGTTTTGTCTCTTTTTTTTAAGTACTTACTTGGCAAAAGTTCTGGTGATGGATGGTGGTAATGATTGTTATGTGAATGTACTTAATATACTTAAAAACAACCAAAATAGTAAATGTATGTATTTTATCATAGCAAAAAATAGCACCTAGTCCTAACAGAAATGGGGGTGCCTTGCTTTGATGAAACTTAGCACACAGGGAAAGAATTGGGGGTGCCCTGAAGGTCCAGTGTGGGAGCTCCTTTAGGAGAGGAGGCAGGGACTCCGCTATACAAAGCTTTGACTTTTCTGCACTTACATGGGCAGTTTCCTGTGTGGGCTGTGTTCAGGACCCGTTTCCACTCAACAAGCCTTTACTCAGCATGTGATTCTGTGAGGGCAGAGTCCTGGGTGTATGTATGGTCAGAGCAAGAATGGGAACTTCCTCAGCCTTTGGAACACCCCATCTGGACCCAGCCAAGATCCCGTTGCAGAGTAGATTGTGCTGAGTCCTTTTCGGGGTGTACCAAGTAATGTTTTGAGAACGTGGGGAAGGAACACTTTGAAAATATTCATTTCATTAATAAAATTACATGATGACCACAAGCGAATTGAATGTGATTAGTCAGAACTCTTGGTTTGTAAACAGCACAGGAAACCATCTCATACTAATTTAAACAAAACCGAATCTCTTGGCTCTCAAAATGGGAGAAGTTCAAGGGGTAAACCTCAGGCTTGGCTGGATCCCAGGTTTCAAATGGTGATGTCATGAAAATTCCTTTGTTTCTCCATCTATTGGAGTTTTTCTCTTTTCATTCAACTTTGTTTTGGGGAGCTGTTGCATTTTCATTAGTTACTGACTGTGGTAAAAGGAACAGCCTCTTTCTTGATAGATTCTCATTGGCCTGGCCAGGGTTTCGTGTCCAGCCTTGAGTAGAGGTGGTACGTGTGTACATGTGTGCGGGCAGGGGAGTGAAATGCTTGGCCTCATGCAACACTGTGGTCTTAGAACACAGTAGAATGGGTCTCCAGAGTGTTCTGGGCTAACCAAGATTGTGCTCTAGATCAGTACTTTCAGAAACTGATGATGTAGTCAGTTATTCATGATCTCTTATTGAAACAGAAATGTTAAGGACAATGCTTGATTCTTTAAGTTTTATCATTAATGAAGCTTTGCTAGTATTGAAGTGAACTATTTAGTAATGTTGAGAACTTGTGGAGGATAGAAAAATAATGATTGGAAAGGGCCAATGCAATATTTTTTAGAGGGAGAGAAGATCTGATGGTCTCTTTCATGGAATACATTTACTTATGCTTTGATATTGAGAAAATTTAGCAGTAACAAGAATGTGTTTCAAAAACAGTATACTGCAGATTCAATCCTTCCCTCTGATACAGAGGGAAAATTGGCAGTAATATAACTCCAAAAAATTTATTAAGTTGACCCCATTAATAAATATGATCCTAGACCATTCAGAACTAATTATCATCACCCACCTAGGAGCACATAAGAAGTGCCTTATATTGTGTTTTCTTTGGCTTGTTTGTTGAGAGCCTCTGCCATTCTTGGTATAAATGATATATTTTTTTTTAGTGTGGGAGGATTACTAATAAAATGGACTTATACCTTTTCACCAGCACAGTATATGTGTGTACTTATACATGTAATTTTGCATATGGCTTCAGAAGATTGATGGATCATCTCATGAACCTATGGACTGCAAGTTAAGAGCCACTCCTCTTGGTCATTGTTAAAATATAATTACTTAACTGCAGAATGAGGACTGTAGTGATCAACTACCAGTTGGACCTGTACAGTTGAAAATGCAATTGGAATTGTGTGTTCAACGTTAGTGCCAGGTTGTAACTTATGCGCTAAATATTTATGCAAGATGGCTATCTGGGCCAGAGAATCCCATGAAATAGGGAATCGTAAGTGTCTGGTATAAACAGGCCAGAGGTATCAGTTGACTTGATTAGTTGATATCTGACAAGTTGAAAAAAAAATTGAGGATCAATAAGCTTGCAGATATTGACAGGTAGAGGTAGCATCATTTAGGAAGTAGGATCAGAAGCCAGAGTAATCTTGGTAAGTGAAAGGGAATGTAGGGAGTGAACGCAGAGGAGAATAGTGGTGGACAGACAAGACCAACTTTGAGGTCACACTTGTACTCGCTTGGTGTGTGACCATGGGCAACTTACCTCCCCTCTCTAACAGTGAGTTTCTACACGTTTAAAAGGATGACAATAATAGTCCTTACTATTAAGGACTGTGGCTATGGGAAATACATCTGAACAAGTCCATGCAAAGTGCTGGGATACAGCAAGTGCTCAATGGAAATCCTAGTTCTTATCATTACTGTTGATTATGATCAATAGTTTCAATTATAATGGAAGTTGAGGAATAGGAACAAATAGGAACCCCGTATGTAAATAGTTGCTCATGTGAAAGTGTGACCTAAGAGATTCCATCATGAAAAAAATTAGCAATATAGACTTCATAAATTCAACCACAAAACATTATTTTAGAGTGAGGAAATTCTTCCACTTTCTTTGTGCCCTCATGAGATCCTTAATTGAGAACTCTGTTCTTCTCTGAATTCCAAAAATAGAGATTATTATGAAGATAGTTTAGACTAGTGATTCTCAATGCTTTTTTAGAGCAATACAAATTAAGATTAATATGCACACATATCACATATTCCATGGCAGATCTGATTTAAAAGCATTGTGTGGGTATGTGTGTGTGGGCAGCAAAGCAAATAGCACCATGAGCTTTTTGTTTTGTGGTATTCATAAAAATCAATACTCGGCATAAAGATATTATTCACAACGAGTTGCTTACTGTGGGCTGTAGCATAGATCAGACAGGCTGCGTGGTGATATACTGGGATGGTTTTAACTTCCATCTCTTCCCACCTGTGAAAGCATTAGGATGCAAATGAGTACATAGCTTTATTGTAAGAAGAATTGTGGACCTGTTGTGTGTTTCTATTTTAAAAGTAAATAGTTCATAAACATCAGTTTCATTATTATTAACAAGTTACTTGGCATACTGCTCACAGCTGATCATGCCTTATTGTATGGTGCTCTGGTATAAAGGAGAGTCTGAGACATCAGTAAAACTGCCACAAATCTGCCGCCCCGCCCCCCCACCGGCCGCCACACACAAACAGTTAAAATCACTCACTAGAATAATGTTATTCAAATCAGAGAGCCATTAAATTGATGATAGATATATAGTTGCTGTCATCTTTGGACAACGGAATAAAACAAAAAGAAATCCCGTTAGGGACTGAGATCACCTATGAAAATCTGCTGACTTTATGTTACTGTTAAACATTGGGCTAGAATTACTGTTAGGAGAAGATCCATGACAGCTTTTACTCTGCAAGTATTTAAAGATAAGGATCATTTTCATGTTTGAGATGATTTTGATGTGGCTGTAACCAGAATAGAAGTGCCTTAGATTATAACTTTTCTTCAGATTGAATAATTCTGCTGTAATAAGTCAGCATATGCTGCTGTCTAGTCTAAAAACTACATGAGGATAAAAACATATTATGTAAAACCATCCATAGTATCAAGTCTCTCTCAATTCCACTCTGTTGAAGATTTAATGCCAGCACCACACACTAGATAATTTCCAGGTTCTCTGAAATAGAGCCTCAATCGAGAAAAAATATTTGAACACATATCTGAATCCTGGAGGGAGAAATTGTTTGTAAAACTAGAGTAGTGTATTTAGTTTGATTTTAGTTTGATTTTAGGTTTCAGGTCTCAAAAATATAGACTATAATTTATGAGTCATTTCTTATATTGAAAAATGCAATAATGTTGGTGCATCTCTGTTAATCCAGTAGATTACTGTTTTTGAGGGGGGGTACGGGTCACAAAGAGTCGGACACGACTGAGCGACTTCACTCACTCACTCACGGTTTTATTAACATGTGCTTTGGTTTTTGCTCTTCGTATGCAGGTCTTATTTATTGACTGAGACTGTATTTCACAAAACATATTGAACAAATAATGTTTTTATACACATTTTTGTTGAGGTACAATTGGCATAGCATTATAATTTTCAGATGTGTAAGTATTTTTCTATATATATCATAACTTTTGTAACTGAAAATACATAACTTTTGACCCCCTTCACCCATTTCAGCCCCCACCACCCTCCAAAAATTGGTATTTTTGACTTTAACAGTTCCTTATAATTGTCATTTATAAATACAAATTTAGACAAACCAGTTTATATACCTATGTAGCCTTAATTATTGCTATCCTAAGCAGATCTCAGTTGTGGACTTAGGAATTTCCAAGGTTAATGTATTGATAATAAATGTAATTTTTTTTTACAAAACTAGAGGAATAGAAGAAAGCATGCACATGTAAACTGAGCATTTTGATTATATAAAAATTCAAATTGCCTACATGCCAAATAAAATTAAGATAAAAATGAGATAATGGTGATTAGGTTAATTATCTCTGTATTAGGAGCTAATACAGGGACTTCCCTGGAGATCCAGTGATTAAGACTTCCCCTCCCAATGCAGAGGGTGGGATTTGACCCTGGTTGGGGAGCTTAGATCCCACAGCCTTGTGGCCAAAAAAAAAAAAAAACAAAAACAAAAAATGAAAACAATATTGTAAACAATTCAATAAAGACTTACAAAATGATCCATATAAAAAAAGAATCTTAAAAAGAACTAATACAAGCCAATAAAAAGACCATGGATACTTCCAGTAGGGATTGGAAGAATCAGACAGAGAACATGAACAGACGGCTCATAGAAATGCAAATACAGAGGGAGTGTGTGAACTTCTAAACTCTCTAGTTGTGCTAGTAGGTAGAGAGATGGAAAGAAAGGAACAGTTATTTTTCATCTGTCAGATTTTCAGAGAGGAGAACAAATGATGGTGGGGTAAATTGATACCTCTGTGAAGAATGCCAACAGGGAGTTAGTATAAAGGACAAGTAATTTGGCAGCAGGTACCTGGTGGGCTACAGTCCATAGGGTTGCAAAGAGTCAGGACTGAAGCAATTTAGCATGCTAACACTCATGCACACACAATCGGAAGCAGTTTGATACAATTCTAGAGCATCAGCTCTTCAGCCAGAAGGCCTTGTATGAATCTCAGCTTTACCACTTACTAGCTCTGTGGTCTTGGTTACTTAACCTTGATCAAGTTACTTAAACTTGGTTTTCCCACCTGTAAAATGGAGATAATTATAGAATTTATTAAATGGAATTGTTGCAAGGGATCATTCAGTTTGTATATGTAAAGTACTTAGAAAAGTACTTGGCCTATAGTAAGCCCTATTTTTATGCTTTCAAATTGTGGGGCAAGAAAAGACTCTTGAGAGTCCCTTGGACTGCAAGGTGGTAAACCAGTCAATCCTAAAGGAAATCAACTGTGAATATTCATTGGAAAGACTGATGCTGAAGCTCCAATACTTTGGCCACTTGATGTGAAGAGCCAACTCATTGAAACAGACCCTGAGGCTGGGAAAAATCAAAGGCCAAAGGAGATGGGAATGGCAGAGGATGGTTATATAGGATCATTGACTCAGTGGACATGAATTTGAGCAAACTCTGGGAGATAGTGGAGGTTAGAGAAGCCTGGCATGCTGCATGGGGTCACAAAGAATCGGACACGACTCAGCAACTGAACAAACCCTATATAAGTGTCTTTGCTTCAGTGTGGTTATCATCATTGCTTTTATATACCTAAGAAAGTCCAACTTCTAAGAGTGTGTCATCAGGAAATTATACATATGGAGAAAGATTAGTGTATAATGGTGCTCATTTTAGCATAATTTATACAAGTTTTATAAGTTTATACCAGTTAATTAGGGATTAACAGAATCATGGTAAATTTATTTTTATTATTATCATGTAGTATATACAGTCATTTCTATGGAGCAAATTTAATAACTTGGAAAATCATTAACATCTAATTTTTTCATTCAATATATATGTAACTATATTTATAGAATTTGTGCACATTTGTATATGTGCACATTTTCATTCGCAGTGGACATAAATGTGTATATCTCATCCTCCATGGAAGGAAAAGTCTCAAAATCAGAAGTGTTTATCACTGAATAATGGAACGTCTGTTTCATTAATTGGTATTTACCCAATTTTCTGAGATAAGAATGTATTATTTCTGCAGCAAAAAATTTACTAAGAGAGCACCAGGAATGATCTTGAGAGTATAATAAATCTCTCACATTTAAGAACAAGATCATCTCTGCCTGCAGATGGCACTACCATTTTCACAGAGAAGTAATCAGTTCCCTACTGACAGGCATTTTGTTTCTTCATGCCCTTGCTTGATGGATGTGTGTGCCTTGTTCTCCACACCAGCCTTAGAAGACCCAGTGGGTGTGGGAGGAAGATTGGAGGGAGAGAGATGGACAGGCTCTGCACACGCCCATCAGAATGTTGCTCTGTTTCTTGCAGGTTTTACCTGCTTCCAGATTCTCTAAGGTTGTAGGACCATTTGTTGTAACATCCATTAAAACTACTTGAGAGTAAATTAAATTGTTACATTTATAATTATCTGAATAAGCAAGCATGATACATAACTTTCCTTCCAAGGAGTAAGCATCCTTTAATTTCATGGCTGCAGTCACCATGTGCAGTGATTCTTGGAGCCCCCCAAAATAAAGTCTGACACTGTTTCCCCATCTGTTTCCCATGAAGTAGCTATTAGGGCAGAATAAAAATGTTGCATAAAAAAATCCATTTTCCTCACATTTATTTCTCCTCTACTTTGATGACCTTCCGTCTTGTTCCACCATAGGGTCCCAGTTTTATCAGGCCTGAAATGCAACCCCCTTCATTTCCTTTGACTGTGTAACAATGGTTCTTTCAGGGACTTAGATAAGCTGGATAGTCTTTTGATTTTTCTTGTCCTTTCCGTTTTTGTCAAGTTGTGCTATTCCCACATAATGATCCTTTAGTTTAACAATATGAAGAAAAGTTAAATGTGAATGAACAGGAGAAATTTATTACTTGGGATTAGGTGATCTATGGAACTTTGTTAAGCCTCATAGATTTGGGAGGGGTAGACAAATCAGTTGGTAAATATTTTAAAGATTGACTTTTATGTATGAGTATGAAATTCTTATTGTTTTATAAACCCCTGAGATTAATAATATCATGGTTTGGAGTTGTTCTGCTGACTAGATGTTATATTCATGGAGGCTCTGATGACTATGGAAGTAGTGACTTGTCTAGACTTATATTTGTCGTTATTAAGCTGTTACTGTTAACTAGTGTTTCTTTGTAGTTAAAAACTAAATTTTTAATGAGATAAATTACAGGATAAGTAATTTATACATAAATTTGTTTTCAGAATCTTTCATGCTTAACATCAATATGTATGACAAATTATCTCCCAAAAGACCTTAATGTATTTGTTTGACCTACTGGTAATTTTGGGGTGTATTTTTCCAAAATGGCATAAAGTTCAGAACCGAATTACTTAAGGTGGGCAATAGTCAAGGTAGATTACAGTTACCTCCCTGGAAGCGAATTAATTGAACCAAAAGCTAGATTATCTAGATGGGGATTAGGAACTTACACTTGATTCCTTATTTGTCCCTTTCTTTATTTTAAAAATAAAATCACCAAGGACAATAGTAATACCCATAGTTTACCACTGAGTTAATACATGTTCATTTGTCATTGTTTCAGATCTGTCTTTAAGTTATTAAATGCAAAATATCACAGTTGAAGTTCAAGTCCTATTTGAATCCCTCCCCCTTTCCCTAGCTTTTGCAGAGACAGTTGAAGTCAAGAACGTCATATATATTGTCTGCCCATATTTTAATCCTCTACACATATACATATGCATACATTTAACAATTTCACAGGAATGGGATCCTGCCCTTGCACAATATCTAA